CGCGACTTCGGAGACCTGTTCACTTTGAAATTGAGTGCCAGCAAGCAATAACAATATAGGAGCTAGAACCAGCGGATGGGTCAGTAGTAAAAGTCAGAAAAAATTAAATCTCGAAAATGAATTTAAAACATACTATCATGTAGGGAATGTAAAAACTCATTTAATATTTTGTAGGCAAGTAAAATCAAAAGTAAATCAAAAATCGTGTAAGGAAGCACAATCCAATTTAAATCCCAGATTTGAGATTTGAGATTGTTCAAAAAGAAATACTCTATTAAGAGTTCGTATTCATTGTAATATTTAAGTGTCGTATTCGACATCACAGACTCAAAAATATCGAGTAAATCGTTTTTCACATAAATACGCATGTTTGATCTATCACTTTGTATATTACATTTTTGATTCCATATTTGCATTTATCGATAGGTATATAAGAAACGTAAGTACACCTTGTGCTGTATATATCTGGTGATGACTTTCCCAACATAATTCTGAAAAACAACGCAGAATTCCACTAGCACCTGAGAAAAGTCATATTCATTCTTTTAACACTTTGTCACTATAAAAACATATTTTTTTACGATTTTTGAGGCTATGTCTGAAATTCATGGGCGACCGATATTTTTTTTTACGGATTCATGTTAAGCGGATCAAAATACATGGGATTAATGTGTTCTCAACCTGATAAAAGTCATAGTCTTTCGTTTTGTGGTATAATAACTAATTTTAAACGATTTTTTGAGGTTATGTCTCAAATTCACCCAGCAACCCCCATTTTTGACTGCAGATTCGTGTTTAGCAGCTCAAAATACGTCGGATTGGTATGGTCTGGATCCCAGCACAAAAAAATTTTTTTTTTTTTGTGGGCCTGTGTTATCGATAACAAAAGATCAAACCTTATTTATAATGGGAATGTAAGAATCGTGAAGACCTTCAGTGTCCGTATGTAAGTTTTTTTTTGTTAATTTTTTAATTTTTTGAATTAGGTGATATTCTTTGTAATATATTAGAATAAATAAAAAAAAAAGAAAGAATTTAACGAATTTATTGGCTCGTAGGCCTGTTTCTCTCCATTAGTTTTAAATTTATTGAGCCTTATTACAATCTACATTTTTATTTCTTTAATTTTTAGTTTTTTTTTAGTTTATATAGTTTCTTAGTTTTGTTGTTAATTTTTTTAGTTTTTAATATTTCAGTTTTTTATTTTTTTTATTACCTTTGTTTGTCAATTTTTTTTAGTTTATAATTTTTTAATTTATTCTTTGTCGGCGATAATTTTTCGAGTTACGGTGTTCTGAATATTGCCCAATTTTTAGCGTGTTCGAAAGTGTTCCTTAGATATTGTTGAGTAGTGTAATTGCGTGTGAATTTATATACTACGAATATAAATCTTTGATTACGCGCTGAAATTTTTTTAGACTTGAAACGCAGCACTAATAAACTACCGTAGTAAAATCATGAATTAAAGTGACTAGCAATTTAACGATTTTTTATGCTGTTTATGCATCTTATATTGATCTTGATAATTTTGAATGATTTATTAAGATGTGTAAATATAATAATTAATTTTTCATTAATTTATATTAATTCTTGAATCATATGTTGTACTTACGATCCTCCAAAATCAACAACAAACAATCTTTGCAGCAACTCATACGTGAAGAGAGTAACACCAAATTGAGGTGACGATCTGAACACTCGAGCTATAAGAATAGAAAAGAATGTGATATTAAATGTATTATATATAATTTTAGACATGCATGGCTCCATATTCTTTGTCCAAATAAAGATTTAAAATGTTTTGATGGCAAACATGTTGACATGACTACTATATATATTTTTTCAGATAGAACAAATATATATGAATGGAAAATATAAGTGTATACATAGAACAGACATTTAAAAAACTGATATAGTTATAAATAATAATAATATTATACATTGTGACGTTGCAGTTTCGCTGCAGTGTCGCAGCGACGCTTCGCCGTCACAAAGCGCGAATAGACGCCGGGAATTACGAGCGAAATCTCTAGAGGCCATGAATAATTGTAGTATTGTTGGTAATCCTCGGTTATTTTCTAATTAATTAATAGAGCTTTGCCGAGCAAAGAACCAGTAGGAAGATTATCGTCGGAGGAAGAACAAGAGGAGGCGAGCGTTCGCAGAGCCGTGGCGGACCAGTGATGAGGAGCGAAAGGAACGGACCGCTTCAGAACTCTGAGGAAAGCGATAATCAAAACCGTCGAGGGCGTCCTGCAATCCCGTGCCTGGGCCCGAGGGAAATCAGAAATAAGGGAGAGCCGGAGGTCTCGCAGAGCGAAGAGAGAGCAGCCGGAGGAGGCGCAGCTGTGATAACGGAAGCCGCCACGTATCGAGAGCGAGAAGGCAAGCGATCGGAGGCAACTGTAGATTGCAGAGCAAGCCGATGAGAAAGGAGACTGCGGGGCCATCAAATACTGGGGTTTGGCCACCCCACTATTTGGTGGCCCTGTAGACCTCGCTGGGCACGATACTGGACGCGAAGGAAAGCGAGCCCAACGATTGGCTGCAAAAAAGCACGACGCGGCTGCGCGCTCCTCCGAGGGGGATGTCGATGGTATCATGGTATAAAGACAAGGGTATGCTCGTCCGGTGGTAGACCACTGCGCAGGCAACAAGCATACGTCATATTCGGCCAGGCTTCGGCTATTTCCGAAGCGGTTCGTGTTCGTGAAATATGGCCGCTATATACAGGCTGTATGGATAACCTACATCTGGCTAGCATCCGTGTGTTGTGTTTATACACGTACATACTATAGTGAGAATTGTGACTTCATTGCGAAGAAAAAAAATGAGCTGTGCAGTAAAAGGATGCACGAACCATATTCGGAAAACGAACAATATGCCTCAAAAAAAGGTGGAAAAATAATACGTTCAAATTTACCGCGTAACAATGACGTATGCTTGTTGACAATTCTGATTGGCCAGTGGGCGTAAACGTCCGCACGAGCATACCCTTGTCTTTATACCATGGATGGTATCATATCGATCACGCATCGATTGAGATTGCTTTCAGTTTCCGACGAGCGATCACAACGAACGTCCTGGTCCGGCGACGACAATGCCTTGCGCTAACGGGAAAGCAAACAAGAGAGAGAGAGAGAGAGGGGGGGGAGAGGCGAGTGTCCGGAGGACCCAGAGCCGGAATCTATCGGTGAGGTTGCTTCACGATATGATATTACTGTAAAGTCACATGCATCGGAGCGAAGGATACTCACGTTCTGCCGTCGGATTGTCGTTCGGGTCGACTTCGCGATGCCGCCATTAGCGGCACATGTTTGGTATAGGTTTTGAGGCAGTCAAGCGTGAGAGGTTCCCGAGCTCGAGGGCAGTAGACTATCGAGGATTAATTAGAATCGAAGTATGGGCCTTCTGAAGATCGCAATGGCAGCAAGCGGAAGAGCCCGAGTGTGTGTGTGTGCGTGTGCGTGTGTCGCACGTTTTTGGGACGACGGCGCAAGCGTTCGAGGACGGTCATTGTCGCGAATTTTCGGTATCAATAATACGTGAGGCAATGGCTACGACGTGGAACGCGGGTCGTTCAAGACCTCAAAGTGGAGTTTCAGTGTGAACGTCGTTTAGTGCTCTCGGCAGATTTTGAATAATCATAGGTCTTCGAATGCTAGCTCCGCGCAGCGGAGCATCTCGACAGTAGCTATCAAATCGCGATGCCTGTGTATGTCATCGTTAGTGTGGATTGCTTGTATGTGTTGTATTATGCGTTTCTCTGAAATGTTATGAATAATCAAACAATAGTTATTGTAAATCGCGGAGAATCTGAGTGTTAAGTTGTATCTGAGTAATCCGAGTGTGATATTCGGAGGATGTACCCACATAGCAAAGTTTTTCTTAAGGATATCCTAATTCGATCAGATTAATCCCATGTTGATCCAAAACATTAAGTCATCCATGGGATTAGCTGAGGACATTTGTAATTGTCATTGTACTAATATAAAGCATCTTTAGGATATCCTACTTTGATCGGAAAAATAATTTTGATCACTATATATTGATAAATTGCATTTTTTAACTTTCGATACATATATAACAAACAACATGTATTTTATATATTATAAGAGTATACCTTTGCAATTTAATTGTTAATTTTTAAATATATATCTATAAATATCCCACATGGCAATACCGCCAAGGAACGTCCTCAAGACGTTCAAAGAACATCTCTCTACGTCCGTTGAACTTCCTAAGAACGTCTCCAGGATGTCTCTTTATCCTCTGGATGTTTTAAGGACGTTCCTAGGATATCTCGCAATAATGAATTGTTATACCGCTCCGGGCACAAAATATTATAATTTCGGGTCAATACTACTTTCAATCAAGAGACACGGTAGTGTCTCACGCCAAGTGAACGCGAAGCGCGAGATCGCACCGTGTATCTTTACGCGAGTCGATGAGTTCCGTGTACCCGAGATTATCGGATCTCACAATAAATGGCTGAATTTATCAACTTTTTAATAGTCTTAATTTAGTTTTATTGTTTAAATTATATTATAAATATGTTTTTATTTTCTACGTACCCTACGAAAGAAGATATCTTGATGTGAAGTTGAAATGTCGAAAATTTGGACATTGACAGATTAAAATACGTTATCATCACCCTCGAAAATGTTGTCCGTTTCACGTTTTAAATGACAGACGGCGCTTGCTAGTATATTTTATTTTATATCGATTAGCTGTCAACGTAATCGATTATTAGCTGTCAACGTAATGACATTAAATAGATAAAAATCAGCGATGGCACAAAAGAAGATTTTTGTATCCTGTTAAAGCAGTCAATGTCTTGAAAGTTCACAGAAAAAGTGTTCGAGAGTCGATTTTGGTTCTAGGCTATGCTTTGAACTGTACTGTCGCCTCTCAAGCAATGCCGAAGAGGATAACGAACGCGAAAATCGCATGTCTAGACTTCTCGTTGTAAAAAAGCTGATCTGATGTTACGGAACGTTGTGGTTTTAGAAATTCTCTCCTGTTTTTGGGTCAATGCATTTAAGCAATTTACCCTGGGATTGGAGGTCAGAATGTGCAATTAAGAATGTTCAGGAGGAAGGGTAGGATAGTTTTTAGGAAGGGTGACTTTGAACCCGGTCCCAAAGAGTTCGCGAAGTTTGTAAACGAGCCTGCGTGGATCGCCTTTTTGGATGGTTTTATAATTGGGAAAAGTGAGGTTAATTTCTAATGGGTTGAGGATATATTCGCGTTCGGGAGATGGATCTAATGGCTTAAATTATGGTTTAGTAGACGCGCTAGTTTTTCGAAATAAGGAAAAAGATCGTGATTTTTATTAAAGGCTGTTTTGATCTGGAACCTTAATCTCTTCTCTTTTTCTCTTCGTCCACCTTTTGAAGGCATGGAAGCAACGCGAAAGAAATTGTCTAATTTCGAGGAAAATGTCTAAGACTGGGGCCACGCCATTGGCAGCGACAGTCACAACACAGTCCTCTATGTATAATTTGTGAATGCTCCGAAAAAATGCTTAGGACGGGGGCCACACTATTGGCAGCGACAGTCTTAGCAACTCCTCGGATATT